GATGGTAGCGATCAAATGGTGCAATGCCTGACGGAAAAAGAAAGAGTGGCAATGGGGAAGCTGAAATCCTTCTGTGCGGGACTTCTCAAGAAACTAGCACCACCGCTGCTTAAGGAAATCGAAGCAATCAAAGGGGTGCATATGGGGTAGGACCCGTTCACTCCTAGATGCACCACCCGCTCGGTGAGCACTGCGGCGCCAAGAAAGCAAAAGGCCTCTGTTGCTGAAGCGGTACTGCTCAAGACTCTGGGAGTTGCAGATGACGACCTTGCGGTCCATGACGGTGCTATGAGAATTCTTAAAGAGATATTTGATTCACCTATTCAGGAACGTTAACTTAGAGCGATAGCAGCAACCTTTGGCAAGTCTATTCCCATGGACTTGGATATGCTGGATGGAGAAATGATAGTGGGCATTGCGTGAGTAAGTAGATTACTACCAGTTGGATGCTAGACTTCTTGATGTCTGGCACCAATGTGGAGTTGGTGTGTTGGAATGTGAGAGGCCTCAATAGTCCGGCCAAGAAGAAGGCCCTTAGGGAATTTGTAGATTCTATCAATGTCACTATCATTTGTATCCAGGAGACCAAATTGGTTGTGGTGGACCGCTTTACTATTCTGCAATGTCTTGGTCCCGCATACGATGGTTTTGCCTATCTCCCTGCCAATGTGACACGTGGAGGTATATTGTTGGCATGGAATTTGACTCTAGTTCAGGTGTCCAACCTGGTCAATGACTCGAATTTCATCACGGGCTATGTTGCTCCTCTAGTGGGATCGCCCGGGTGGCTATCTGTTGTGTATGGCCCCAGGAGGACGCGGAGAAAATTGCTTTTTTGGACGAATTGGTGGAAAGGCGCGCTCTTTGCCCGGGACCTTGGACGGTGATCGGCGACTTCAACCCCATCATGTGTGCTTCTGACAAGAGCAACGCCAACCTTGATAGGAGGATGATGGGCAGATTTAGGCGTTTTATCGACAACATGGAACTGAAAGAGCTCTTCCTTCATGGGCGCAAATTCACTTGAAGTAATGAGCGAGAGCTAGCCACCCTCACCAAGATCGATCGTGCTCTCGTCTCGGTTGACTGGGAATTGGATTACCCCAATTGCATGTTGCAAGCATTGTCCACTGATATATCTGATCATTGTCCCCTGCACCTTGCACTAGAGGAACACATTCTCACACCTAGGCGCTTCAGGTTTGAAGTTTTCTGGACCAAGATCGACGGATTCGAGGAGGTTGTGAAGGACGCGTGCGCATCGGGCATCACGGATCAGTATAAGCGCCTTGATGAGCTTCTTAGGAACACCGCCAAATTTCTCATGGCTTAGGGCAGAAAAAGATTGGCAATGTCAAAATTCAGATGGCAATCGCGAGGTTGGTTATCAAGTTGTTTGACAAGGCCATGGAAGACAGAAACCTGACTACGGAGGAGAGATGGCTCCGTGGTCTTTTGAAAAAGACTCTGCTTGGCCTGGCTTCACTGGAAAGAACGATGGCTAGGTAGCGATCTCGGATCAAATGGCTTCGTGAGGGCGATGCAAATTCAAAATTCTTCTAGCTTTTTGCGAACGGGGGGAAGGCCAAGAACTACATTCCGGCGATCTCGGTCAAAGGACAGATCACCGATTAGTAGGGAAAGGAGACGGCTTCCCATCAGGCTTACGAGGAGATTTTGGGCACATCCAGGGCGAGAGAGTTCACTCTTGATCTGCAATATCTGAATATGGAGCCCATCGATTTGTCCGATCAGGACACCATTTTTTCAAAGGAGGAAATCAGGAAGGTCATAAAATACATGCCAGCTGACAGAGCGCCGGGGCCGGACGGATTCATTGGGCTTTTCTTCCACAAAGCTTGGCCCATAATTAAGGGAGACGTGATTGCTGCGATTCAGAAGTTTATGCTGGATAATGGACGAGGTTTTGGCAGGTTCAATAAGGCGTTGATCACTCTAATCCCAAAAAAACCAGATGCTTCAGAGATAGGGGATTTTAGAACGATCAGCTTGCTCCACAACATCCCTAAGATCTGTGCCAAGCTATTGGCAACCAAAGTTAGTAGGCGCATGGAGGAGATGATTCACTCAAACCAATCAACTTTTATCAAGGGCAGAAATCTACATGACAATTTCATGCTTGTGCGTCAAGTGGCGAGGAACTTGTACAAACGGAAAGCTAAGGGTGTGATGGTGAAGATGGATATCTCAAGAGCGTTTGATTCGCTCTCCTGGCCGTTCCTTTTTGAAGTGCTTCGTGCGAAAGGATTCTCTGATAGATGGAGATCGCTCATTGCCACGCTGTTATCCTCGGCCAGCTCTAGAGTGATTGACAATGGCAACGTAGGAGAGAAGATCATGCATGCACGTGCCTGAGGCAGCGCGACTCAATCTCCCCTCTCCTGTTTGTCATTGCTATGGATGCCCCGTCACCTCTCATCGTTCGGGCCCAACAAACTGGAGTCCTAAGCCCGATGCTCGGATGCTCTCTGATACAACGGCTCTCAATCTATGCAGATGATGTAGTTCTCTTCATCAGGCCGACACACATGGATCTAGCGTTTGTCAAGGAAGTAATGCACATCTTTGGAGAGGCCTCGTGACTGAAGATTAACTACCAAAAATCTCAGCGATCCTGATTAGGACGGACTTGGGGGACACCGAGAGATTAGCCGCAGCCCTACCTTGGAGGATTCAGAGTTTTCCGTGCAAGTATCTTGGCCTCCAACTCTCGATCAAACAACTAACACGCAATCAGTGGTAGCCAATGGTTGACGCAACGCTCAAATTTCTGCCAGCATGGATGAGAGGCCTGATCACAAGGTCGGACAGGTTGATTCTAATCAACAACGTCGTGAGGGCTAGGCCTACCCATCATCTTATCGTGGCCAATGCTCCAAAGTGGGCCTTGGACAGTATCGACAGAGGATGTAAGGCGTTCTTTGGGATGGAACAGAGGAGATCCACTGTGGGAAGTGTCTGGTGGCCTAGCGCCGGGTATGCCGGCCGAAGGAGCTTGGCGGGCTAGGTGTGATAAATCTACATACTCAAGGAATTGCCCTGAGACTCACATGGGCATGGCTCAGACGTACTGACAACTCCAAACCTTGGCAGGGTCTGACTATGTCGGCGGACAAGGAGATGCAAGCAGCTTTCGCTAGCTTAGTGCATTGGACTTTGGGCAATGGGAGCCAAATCTTGTTTTGGAAGGATAGATGGATCCAGGGACTCCGCATAGCGGAAATTGCACCGCTGGTAGTAGCACAAGTAAGAACTCAAACGGTGAATCGACGGTTGGCAAGGGAAGGGCTGACTTCAAGTAATTGGATCAATGACATCAATGGGGAGCTGTCCACCGAGGGACTTGTCCAATTCATCCACCTGTGGGAGATCTTAAGTGTTGCATATCTTGACACTTCAATGGAAGATCAAGTGATCTGGAAGTGGTCGGCATCGGGACAGTACTCGACTTCATCTGCTTACCATATTATGAACGAGGGAGCTGTCAGACTAGGATGCGCCAAAGGACTGTGGAAATCCTTGGGCCCATTAGGTTGCATATTGTTCATGTGGTTGGCGCTGCAGCGAAGACTTTGGACCTTCGATCGAAGATTTCGGCATGGATTACAGGACGCAACATTAGTGTGTTTCCTTTGTGATCAAGAGGAAGACTCGGTGGATCATATAATGCTCCAATGTGTTTACTCGAGGCAAGTGTGGTTCCAATGCTTCTGGTGGGTCTAGATTGACATGCAGATGCTTCGCTGGCCAACCGCCCGAAAGCGGATCCCCAAGAGGTATCAAAAGGGGTTTGACTCGCTGGTGCTACTGACTTGTTGGAGTATTTGAAAGCAAAGGAAAAGACGAGTTTTTGATGGCCAAGGCATTAGCAATGAAGAGGAACTTTCCACGAAGATCTACCAAGAGCTACGACTTTGATTAGCGACAGGAGCGAGGAGTGTACAACACTTATGTGAGTAGTCGTGTATGATAGGAGTGGGAGTCTTATTGGCATCACCAACCACATGTGAGGGCCAGAACAATCTTCTTGTAATTATTTCTTCCTTTTATAAAGCTTAGGATGTTATAAATGAAGGTCATTTTAGCCAAACACGTTGTAAATGAAGGTCACTTTAGCCAAACACGTTGCAAATGAAGACCACATATAGAATGTTATTGTTGTTTTACCACCTGAAGATAAAAGAAATTAGAAATATAGAAATACACTCTTGTGGACAAATTTTAAAGCATTGAAAAGATAGAAATACATTCTTTTATGGACAAATTTTAAAGACAAATGTACATTCTTCGCCGGACGGAATACATAGAAACATACATAGACAAAAAAAATTGGAGCATAGATTCACTCATTTACATTTCGCTGGACGGAGTACATACAAACGTATGTAAGACATAGTTTAGAATGGAGATTCACTCATTCTAATGTAGATTTATTTGCAGCATCCAAAGAAATAACTGTATCCACGTCAACACATTCCCTGCCATGCGCAATCTAATTCCTAATCCTAAACAATCAAGAAGCAGGACTTGTAGCATCCAAAGCAGGATGTAACCATTGTCCACAGATTCAGACCAGGCTGCCATCCGGGATCAAAATCCTAATCCTGAACAATCAAGAAGCAGGACTTATAGCATCCAAAGCATGATGTATCTATGTCAACACATTCAGACCAGGCTGCCATCCGGGATCAAAATCCTAATCCTAAACCATCAAGAAGCAGGTAGCACCACCCAGCAAATCAAACTCTACACGCAGCAGATAAGAGCATCCAGACAATAATGCTGATGCATGCAAAAGCATAAAGTACTTGATGGCCGAATATTAGCAGCAAATAAAGCTCCAAAACAGAGTTCATACAGTTGGATAGATTGGTCATGATAGCAAAACTCCTGGTACAACTAAAAGCAACGATAACAGGCCTACTAAAGTGCAGGTTTCTGGAATAAGCGAGTTGACAGATGAGAAGAATGGCGCCACCATGCCAAGCAAGTACGCCCGCAGTCAGCCGCAGCCAAAGACACACATAGGAAGCTACAGCACACCGTCACCACCCCCATCAGCCTACTTGGATCGCTGCCTCATCTTTCGGCGCTTCCTCTTCAGCCTCCTCATGCGCTTCTTCTTCCACTGAATCAAGAGATAAGCCAAGTTAAAAAGGATACATGATCACATAAATTATTCAATAAAACAAGAATAGAAGGGTGGCTTCCAGGCATGCTGTTTGCAAAAAATAAACCAAGTAATCCCATGAACCTCAGTGGTAAACAGAAGTCGGAAGCAACCAAAAGCAAGGCAACAATCAATTCAGCTGCCCAATCCTGAGACAGGTTGTGAACAGTTTAACTGAAATGCACTGAAAAACTGCATCTGCTACAACATGGCAGTTCAACATTCCAGCTAGTCAATTATCTAATACTGTTCATCTACTTGGATGCGGGCAACTATGTTCAGTATCACTTGCTAAGGCCAAAAGGAATGTTCAATAGCGAGCAGACGAGCAGATTGTCTGCAACATAGAAAATTTAACAAGTCTACTACAACACGCATTAAACATGTGGTACTACAGCCAGATAAGCCAATTCATCTTATTACTTAAATCATCATAACCAAAGAAGAAATTCGCAGGTTTTGAAACAGTATGGCGACCACAAAGGACGAACCACTAACGTACATAATCAAACACCAACAGAGTACTTCAGCAAATTGTTAATTCACATCCCGAGGGCTCATATCAAGTGCATTCGACCTTCACCGTGGCAGGGAAACCCAAACGAGACAGACGACCCACGCACGCGCGCGCAAGCACGACGACAAGCAACGCGAGCACGGTACGGGAGAACCGGAACACGAGATACCTAAGCCCACACGATACATCGATCGATCTAAGGTAACACGAGACAAAACATGCCCCACCATCGCCGCCACCGCCACCGCCGACGCAAGCGTCGTCGGGCGGCACCTCGCGTTCCATCCCTGACCGGCTCGAGTTGCTCGCCCCGTCGCAGCCGCAGCAGAAACGGGGGGCACGAGCACGAGACGGCGAGATCTGCCGGCTCGCTAGGGTTTCCCAGGAATTCGAGCCATTCGAGCCTCTCTCTTTGTAATCATAGCCCCCGCTCGGCAAAGAACGAACAAACAAACAAACGAAGGAACAAAACCATGGCGGTCGTCGCATGGATCTAGGGGACGAACGGGATAGGTGTCCGGGGACTAGAGCGTGTGGATTGGGAGGTTACCTTGGCCCTCATGGTCGGTCGCCTCCTCGCGAGATCTCCTTCTCGCCCCTGCTGCTTCTCCTCCTCCTGCGGCGGCGGCGGCGGTCTTGTGGTGGGGAGTGGGGGGAGTGGGAGAAAGGGAGGCGCACTGGGGGGTTACAAGAAGCGAAACCCTAGGAAGGTAGCTTCGAGAATATGGGCCTGGGCTTGTTAGCCGCTCGAATGCCCACAGGCTATGGGCGTATTGGGCTGAAGGCATTCGAGGTAACTCTGCTTTCCTTTCCCTTTAGCGGTTTAGCGGAAGCAACTAGTTAACGAGCGCTTCTTCGGGAGCCTCGCAACGATCAGCGCCACTTGTCGCGTTCTCAGCCATTCGTCACGTGTCGTGTTCTGGACGTTTTTTCGGATTTTATTTTTTTATTTTTCCACACGCGTTTTCGGCTTTTAAATGGTTTTTTCCCGGGTTTTTTTTACGTTTTGGTTTTCCCCCGGTCTTTCTTAGCTTTTCGATTAAAAAAAATTCGAAATTTTTTTTTGCGCGAAAGAACACGTTTTCTTTTTTTCCTTTCGCAAAAGTCATGGGGTTTTTTTCCGCGAGAGGTACGGTTGTGCTTTATCGAGAGTCACGGCCGTGCTTTTCGAAAACAAAAAAAAAATGTGTTTTCTGTTTTTTTTCTTTTGCGAGAGTCACGGTTTTTCTTCCGCAAGAGGCACGGTTG